GAACCTGAATGAGAAATGGTCAGTTAGGCGTAGAAAATTATTCAGGAGGAAATGGAATCTTATGGGCTGTCGTGTAGCCGGCCTAAAGTGATTGCAGAAAAGGGAGTGAAGTGGAGATGCGCTGCTGAAGAGCTGTGTTTCACCAGAAACTCAAGGGAGTAGTAAATGCAGTGATATTATTTCTGTCAAGATCTATTTTATTTCCTACAGAAGAACAGATAGGAAGTGAATCTGAAAAGACGTTTGTCATCATCCTACATCATGAACTGAGAGTTTATTCACATGTAATAAACACCCTTCCCTAAATGATATCAGTTGAAAAATGGTGAATTATACTTATCATAACTACAATTTTACGAGCAAGAAAATTTTGTCCCTTTGTCTCTGCTGTTTGTTAATAATCAGTTTTCTAACAAGTTGACCTATGCATTCAACCAGTTGTAGACTCAAATATTGTTAAACGTACCATATCATTAGAACTCCAACAGTGTGCCTGACTGTTATTCCATAATTTTAATGACTTCTATGTAAGACCGATGAATAATGTAGAGAATAGACAATGTTGGTACTGAATGAAGTTCAGTGGCTTAGAAACCATGGTACAAATATTTGTCTAAAACTATCTGCTGTTTGTAAAATTTTCTAATTTGTCCATTGTTTTACGAAGCAGCTAATCTTAATTAAGGAATTTTCTGTCTGTGTGAAACATAGATAACTGTTTAGCAGAAATATCATAAAATATAAACTACGGTGTATGTGTGAATCACAAATGCATGAAGCATTGTTGTCACTTCGGCTTTCACTGTCTGTGCTCGCAATGAATTTTAAGTTCTACGAAAGGCTGCTCAGTGGTAGGATGTTCGCCAACCATGCATGTGGTCCAGGGTTCAATTGCCAGCAGGCGCATATGTTTACCTCCCCTAGTCGGTAGTAAGCCTAACAAAGATAAGGAAGGTTGGGCGTGAGGCTAGCAACCCCACCCCGTAAAAAGTACCACTTCTTCTAAAGGTTCAAAGCTGAAGCTTGAAGCCGTAGGATTCATTCACATAGCTAAGGAAAAAAACAAAATGTACGGCCAAATTTGTAAATAAAAATATTGTTATTTGTAGGCTTTATGGCTTAAAAACCTAAAGTTATGAAACAATGACGGCAAGGTGAACGCTTTCTTCACACTTCGAAGATCTATTTGAGAACTTCTCATCTTTTGACAGCGTTAGGCTACCAATCTACCATATTACAAGTCATTTTTCATTATTCTATAAAAATCATTGGGTACAGTTGTTTTCGGGTCTAATCAGTGTAACAGTAATTATCATTGGCTTCATGGAAGAGAAATCACAATTATGTGCCAGAGTAATTCCTCGTTGAGAATAAAAATGCGAAACACTGCACACATGATAAATTGCAGCAGTCATGTAAAATACATTAATGAACATTCATCAAAATGTACTCTAAACCATGGTCGTCCGAAATCTTGTAGCATCTATGACACATATGCACAAACTGAGTTCTCATGGATGAATAAATGTCATTAGTTTTCCATTTAACTACTCAATATGCCACTGTTTTCATGTTTGCATTATTGCATAATGTTTAAATGCTTCACCATATTTTAAGGCTGGTCATTTTTGTTTGCTGGTATATAGTCTCCAGAAAAACGCCATATAAAAAAGTTGTCTAATCTGGTTATACATGACAACAGTCATTGCATTGATAAGGGAGTTATGAAGCACTGGCAAATATCCACCTCTGTTAGTTCGAAAAGTGGTCTGTTTTCATCGCTTAAAATACGTTAGTGAATATCGTCTCCATGATTTCAGTGCTATGGATAGGATGCTTCTAATCCTGAAATTGTTACCTGAGACCAACTTTAGACGCAAATAATAATACTAGCAACGGTATACAGTGCTAAATAATGTGAATGGTTGGAAACCACTCATGTCATCTAGAAGGCCATTTTGCTCGTTTGAGGCTCAGCTTATCATTAATGTAGTGCAACTGACGTAGCTCGGAGACCCGACTTTAGTCTGTGTATGTGCTTGGGCAAACTGGTTATTTTATAGAATTCGCCGTTTATACATCACACATTTTCAAATGAAAATTCATCACTTTTTATCTGGAAACCTAAAGTATTCACCAAAAAATGTTAGCGAAATACAGAATATACTCATGTGGTATAAACGGCAAAGATATGGGTCGGCAAAGAGTATTATACAGTTTGTAAAGCAGGTTTTAATGGATTCATCTTGTTTCAGTCGATTTCTTCATCTGAGTACACTGACGTGAATGGAAAGAGTGTTAGAAATTTACAGTCAAGACTGCATGGATTACAGTTCACTTACGTCAGCATGAAAGTAAATGGTTAGTTATGAGAAACGCTGCGGACTGTAAGGTGAATCTGAATAATAACAATTACGACCAAATGAGTTACATTAGATGATTTCTTTTATATTAATAATGACAATAACAGTCGTATCAATTATGAAACAGCATTCTAAGCAAGATAATAACAGAAATCATAACAGCTGACATAGTGAAAGATAATATCATACTGGAATCCAAGCAGTCACCAATTTGTATAAATCAGCTGTGCATTTTTTGAACTTACTTCTCGAAAGAAATGTCTTTCAACATTTTAAACAACATTGCATTCAATATTAGAAAAGTTCATTTGATATAACGCAAAGTGGACCACGCAACTTACATTGAGTTGTGAGAAGACGGGGATATATTGAACCGGAGAAAAGACACCAGAAGAACTGAACTTCGTGATTGATTAATCCATAATGTTGCACATGACTGAAGATTTGTAGGCCAAAACCAACAAGTTGGAGGAAGAGGCAGCCAACACCAAACTTCAGGTGAACAAAGACAAGACATAGGTTATGTAGATGCTTAACTAACAACAACAACGATTACAATCGCTAGTCACCTGTTTCGCTAACCAACCAGATGTAGATCTTAGAGTCAGGATCAGGAAATCAAAATAGGTGTTGATCACTCTGACAACTGTTGGTAAATCTGTAGCACTCAGTATAAAGACACAAGATCAAGATTTTCATCACTAATGTTAGGCAAGTGCCCCTGCGTAATTCCTAGAGTTGGCGTGTCAAGCTGCAAACTCTCATCGACAGCTCGATACCGAAGGTGAGATAGCTGGCTGGAAAAGACTAGCAACGAGGAATTCTCAAAACCAATCAACCAAGAACCAACAGTTTAATAAGAATGCAATTACTCGAAGAAAATCATTTAGAGACATCTGATCCTCAGGTGAAGTCCGAAAGGAAAACGACGAGTTGATGGTATGAAGATGACACGGTGGAGATGTTGTAAGAAGAAAACGGAAGCTTATAGGCGATATTAGAGCCAGACAATAAATACCGCAGAGAAGAGAGTGAAATGGTGATGTGTTGCTATAGACCTATCTTCTACATGAAACCTAAAGGACGAACAAAAATAATAAAATTTATTTTATTTCAAATTATTGTTGTGGGGAGATCAGTCCATAGTAGTAGTTCAACTTTGTTAGCTAAATGTTCGGTGAACTAAAATGTACTCAGGACACTTCTAGTTGTTATGGCTTTTCACAGTTTAAATGAATTAGGGCTAACTTCAACTTTTTGGGTGATCCATATATAAAATCAAAACAAATGATTCAGCGAAGAGACTCTTTTCAACGAATTTATCATCAAGCTGTACAATCGTATATATATGGTTTTTAAGAAGTTATATCCGGTGAGGGAATTGAAACATAGGTGTGAATGCATAAAATAATAATAATATGAAATGCAGTTAAAACTAAAATGTTTGTGATTATAATCGTAGTTAAATGTCAAGTGGCAAAGCAAATTAATGTCATAATTAGAATAACTCATAGGATGGATAGAACTTGAAAAAGCGTGTGCAATTAAAAGATTAGTAGACAAATCGAATAAAATAAAAACGTTACGTAATATTGGGTGAAATTTGACAACATAGAATTTAATGTTGCATGAAGGAATTGATTTAGAATGACAAGTGGAACAAGTGAAATAATACCGGGGACAGTTCAAAGTGAGAGTAGTAATAGTAACAATTGACTTAATAAGGAAGAGTATACAAATTGAATAGACAAAAATGAAAAAAATGAAAAATTGGTAAAGCTAAAATTTGATTGAGGATTACCATACTTTAGCAAAGAGAGATTAAGACCATGAAAGTTGGAGGGGTTGAACAAACTTTTTCCGTACACAGAGATCTGGCTATTCTGTTTCGATAGCCAAAGCTTCAGCAATACAGATGAGTCGGGTACGTAGGGATTTGAGTAGATTACTCTTTGCCTTGTAGATGACTTTAAAGGCGGAGGCTATAGAGATAGGGTGGTCATTATCGACCAGATGTTCAATGATCGCGCTTCTTATTGCTCAACTTCCACCTTTTCGTATATATATATATATATATATATATATAGCTATACAACAAAAACAGTAACATTACAATAGACTTCTACAAACTACTTTCCATTGTAAAGATTCAGTATACTTTATAAAATCTTTGTGAAATACATTTAATACCAAGAGATGTAGAATGAAGCAAGTGGGACTTTCAATAGTAACCTCTAGTTTTTAAGGTGACATTAATTTTATTTATCACAATTTTGTATTACATCCTAAAATATCGTCATAACTGATAGAAATCCTCAAATGTTAGATGACGTATACTGCATTAATGTATGACATGACATTTATGTCATACTGGATAAGCTTTTTTTCTTCTACCTTCTTGATTAATAACCATCTGTTCAGAATGTCCGCCCTATTTATTAGAAGACATTATATATATTTACACATACATACACTAAATATTTATCTATGACTATGTGTTTGTGTGCGTGCGGTCGTATCTCTTCACAAGCCAATAGCATGTATCCATTTTCATTGTTTCCACTGGATTGGACGCCATCCTATGATTGTTAACAGAACTGTAAATATATATATTTATAGTAATGTATGCTTTTAGATGTCGCGGGATTTTATGTATGTATACGTCTGAAATTCTGATACAACCAATATTAAACTTCAAACAAGTTATAAGCAATTTATGATAAAAACGTTATTGTGAAAATACTACAACCATTTAATTGTTACTATTATAATTATTGGGTGTGGTTAAAATGAGAACTGTACACGAGAGACACAGATCTGTTCTGCGGACTTTTCCATTTCACAAGAGACAGATATAAATAGATTTATTTTTAAAAAGAAGTGACAAAATAACTCGTTTAAGTGTGTTAATTTTTAGAAGAAAAAAAAACTATGCTCAATTTTTACATGTTTATTATTTACTGCTTCATTTGTAACTCATAGTGTAAACATCTTGGAAACATTGAACATTTAATTGAACAGTGAATGTCACTTTAAGCGAATCAATTGACAGATTATTCATTGTACAACGACAATGTAAAAGAAATGAATACAAAACATGTATATGACTGGATAACAAAAAGAAAATAATAATTCATTTTAAATTTATACATTATTATTCATTAAACGTTTAGATTTAATTGCTCTAGCAAAAGGAGTTTATCAATGTGCATAACAAACATTTGACAGTGGTAATCAATTCATCTGGATAATTATTTTAATCTCTACCACATAGTTAGTGTTTGTATGTAATACATAATTACATGTGAATTCATATCCTCTTTCAAAACAGGATAACTTCTCATTACTCAAATCCCCAATTAGCATTATTAAATACTGGTGTTGCTTGCATTGTAATGCATTTATTCATTCACAGATAATAATTATTATTAATGAAGCCCAATTCAGTATGGATTTAGCCCTGTTTATATACCATTTCATTCTTCTTTTCGGTAAGTTTGTCAATATTAACATGCTTAGTACATATTTGTATTTATTTGTATCATTTTACAAGTGTGTTTCGATTAGAATAATGCTGAGAAGGTGGTATTTTGCTCTCTTGAACTGGAAGATCCAGGTTTGACTGGGAACAGCCAAACTGAAGACGATTATTTCTAGCCTTAACCAAAGATAGTCAGCCTTATCGAGATGTTCATATCTATGACACTGACTAGTCAAATAGATGAAAATCGATTGGTAAATTGTGATAAAAGATGTATCATTCGAAAGATATATTACTCATGGAAGTTATCTTTTTGATCTGATGCAGATGTTATCAACATTATTTCATTAAGGTATGAACAACAATAGACCTCCATTAACTATGTGTATATCATGCCTCAAGCAGTGCTATTCAGACTAGCAGTTAAGTGTCACACATAATCACGTTGACAGAACTCAGTCAATCTGCATTATTTCATCTGTATCGTAATTGAATTAAAAATGTTTCGTGATAAAGTATAAACATAGAGTCATTATGTAACTAATTTAGCCATCTATAAAATCAGTTGATTTTGAAACTGAAAATCAATCTATTTATGAACTATTAATAAATGTATAAAATATATTCTACAATTAATAGTCTGAATCCTGATAGCAAAATAACCATAAAAACTGGTAATTTATAATTTCTAAAATGGCATAAATATAAATAAACTCAGGAAGTGTTATGCTCTTTATTCAATTTATGTTACTTTTTCCGCTGTCTGTGTTCACCAAAATAAGGTAGACTAAGAAATAAGTAAATTTTTTTAAAGCAGTAGCAGTTACACTGAATTCTTTATAGATGTATATATGTAACAGCACTAGAATACACTTATTTAGAAGATTTCTGTAACTTTTCTAGTCAATATATCGAAGTTAATTAATAAAACTAATGAGGTTGTCCATGGTCTACGAGCTTGTCTTGTAACCAGAAGGTTCTAGGCTTGAAACCTGTTGGGCGCGTACTGTTGAAGAGCCCCAAACTAGGACGAAACAAATGTCCAGTACTCCCTGCTTGTTTTCAATTGTCCTCCAATTGATATCAGTCTGTGATCAAACTTTTGAAAGCAATGAAAAAGGTTTAGAAGAATCATTTGGATTCCAAAGACTAACTGCTGTATTAAGAAGATAAATCGTCACTGAATCCTTCTTATTATACACATTATCGCTAAATGAAGAATAACCTGTCAACAGTTGATCCTCTAATGGCTGCAACGCATTATTTGTATTCTATTAAGAAAGACAAATTTTATTCGTTACAACAGAAGTATGAAACTTCAGTATGCATATATAAGCCTTTTTTGGGGGATAGACTTAGAATTTCTTCTTTAAAATCGATAAATGTATACAGATATCTTTTTATGACATGCATAGCTGACTCAGACTCAAAGAAACATTCTCCTAGAGTACACTATACAACCTTTTATTCTGCTTATTTATTATCAGAATAATGAGGGAAAATATTGAGCACCACTTTGTAAAAGCTTCCATATTGAGTCTGATATTTCCCTAGACATATAAATATATATATGTATATATTGTATATTTAACGTCCTGTCATCAGGTCACGTTCTTGTTACACATGAATGAATAAATAAATAAAGTGAGACTAATATATATATATACTTTTTTATGTTATATTATGCAAACGAAAGTTTATTTTTTACGCACACACATAAACATATACATTCTTTATCGAGATTCAGAAGGTATTTTATTTCGGTGGGAGTTCACATATGTGTACACAACTCAACTTAAGTATTAACTGACCTCAAAATTAGTTAATTTGGTAAAACAAAGTCAATAAAAATATTTTCCACATCATCATAATGTAACGTATAATTAACATCGAAAAGATGTTGATTGCGGTTTCTTTTTAAGTAATATAAATGAGTGAGTATGATTCTTCGAGAAAGTCAGGTTTTCGATTTTGCTTCACTAAGTATGACAGAAGACTGAAGAACACGGTTGAAATCCAAGTCCCTCCCTATTAAACAGAAAAATGAGCTCAACCGTGTTATCCAGTCTTCTGTGAAGCAAGTGTATGACTTCATTTAATAATGAAGAAATATTGATTGACTGGCTTGAATGAAGCTGTTAATACAATCTGATATTTTTTTTACTAAATTAGCAAAACTCTGCTTATATACATCCAGCTGATGTATACTCTCCCATTTGTGCACAAAAATAACTTATCCCAACCTGGAATTCCTAGCTGGTTGAGAGTATTTTGCTACTAAATCAACAGTGGGTGCGTGTGACCGAGAATCCATCAGTTAAATTTATGCTCAGCAATGCTGCTTTTCATTCGAGAGTAAGATTTCTAATGAGCTTGAAATTATTAACTTATATATTTATTTAAGGTTCGATCATAAACGCATACTTTGAATTTTTCGATTATTCTAAGTCTTTCATTCATCGAAGTTTCAAATTCATCGTCGAAGCATCTGCACAGGAAGCCAACCTGAGACTGAGCACTTTGGACCAGTAAGTTGACGGGAAAATCTAAGGTTGAATTAAATAAATAATATGACCTGTTGCACAAGAGGTAGTGTTGCTACGGAGGAACAACTTGCTTATGGCATTTCGAAGTTCAGAAAGCAACTTCAAGGTAGGTAGAGCGCCGCTTTGTGCTTTTCTTAGACTGAAATGTTCAGGAATATATACAGAAAGCAAGTAACATTCCATTTCTTAGTTTTCATGAAGTATAGGTGTAAGTTAAATATATGCCGTTAGATAAGATTTGGGTAGATACAGTTTGACAGTTTGCATATCTGACGTACTAATAATTTTCAAGAGTTGGTTTGTAAAGATTAATCTGATGCTCGCTAGTGACTTGCTACAGGACGGAGTTTCCTGGAGTTCTAGTGAGAAGTTGTGACCAGTGAGGTCCATCCAGTCAAGTGTGAGGATGGATTTCCCACAGATGACATTGGTCGTGGTAGCGCTAAATCACGAATTGGTAGAAGTTAGAATTCATGCACTGGCCATTGAATCAGGTTCCAGTGGCTGAATGGTGTACGAGCTTGCCTTGTAACTGTAAGGTCCTGGGTTCGAACCCTGGCAGTGGGTGTGTACTGCCAATGATTCCTAAACTAGGATGAAACAGCCGTGTCCAGTACTCTCTGGTTTTTAATGATTCTCTAACTGATATCAATCCGTGATAAAACTCGTATTGATAATTGCTCAAAACTTCGTTTTCTTTAATATTCTGTCTAATTAGTAGTTATTCTCATATTTTTAATGTAAATCATAATGCAACAGCTGCATTTCAGATCTAACTTCGATCATCTGAGAGACGATTTCAATGGAGGAATGTCCAAGAAACAGTTAAAAAATATCAACCATTTTGAAAAAACGCATTGTCCTTCATAACTACATCATCTAACTGTAGTTGTTTGTGCTCCCTAATACCCGTCAATCCCTTCGTACGCGTCAGCATCCAGTTATGAGGAATTCTGAACTATTTTCATCATGCGGTGATATCTCAAGGCACCGAGATTTTAAAAAAATAAACATTTGAATAAGAGACCAAACAAAAATTCACGGTTAATATCAGGTGTCCTGTACACAGAGTTGTTAAAATTTCAGAAATGAAAATGAAGCTTTGATTCAAGCAATGAAAATGGATCGATGGAGTGTAATTTGTAAAGAATGTCCCCTTGTTTTTGTGAGTAGGAGTAAATAATTCTCTTTATGAATTGTTGTACCGGACACTTTTAGTGAAACATTAGTTCTGTTCTACACACAGAAGTAGATGTAGTCTTAAAGAAACTTATATAAATAATAAACTGAAGGAGATTTATATATGCAATCTTCATTCTTTAAGTAACTCAAACTGAAACCAGTAAATTTTAAATAAATGTATGTGAGATAAGAATTCGCACATTAAAACAGTCACGATCTAATGATTAGCCTGAGATTACACTATATTTCTATTGTATAACACGGTGACTATCAATTCTTATATAGGAATGGACTAATATACGTGAATTGGATTTACATTTGCAAATTAGTTATCAGTTTGCAATGTAAACAGTTCGAGAGGTAACATTCTCAACCTAGTTTGTTTTGGGAACCGAATTATTCAGATCACAGTATGTGACGTGCTTGATACTATGAATGGTAATCAAGAAAGTAAGCATGTGTGCATAAAACTATAGACAGCTGACTGAATGAGGTGAGTGGTTGAATGCCACTCATATCAACATGAAGTGCTAACTAGCCAGATCGTGGTGATCGAAATACCAGACGGCCGTTTTGCTCGTTCTTCGCCGAGCTCATCAGTGGTGTACTCGGTGTTTAAATCACCCCAATCCGCCTAACTAGTTGATATGAGTGAAATACAAGTACTCATCTCAATCAGTCAACCGTATATTATTTTATACGGACTAAAATACGATTCTCCGAATCATCCCTAAAACGCTGATATTTACCTTGCAACTGACAGAAGATATGAAAAGACGAAAGTGTACTTAATTGTATTACTCTATATGCTTTTATTCTTTTGATAATTTAAACATGAATATTTACTATGAATCTAATGAACACTGGTCATAGCCAGCGCTAAAATATGTATTTACGGGACTGTGACCGTCATAATGTCAGTCTGATTAAAATGTTAGCTACCAAAGCCATCGCTGTTATATTCTCTTTTATTTCTTGTGTTCACATTGTTTTAATATACAAAAATTTCACCTTTAATTGTATTGTACTCTCCCGCGAGTGTTTAAAATGCTAACAGCCTACCGATTCATAAGTTTCAACTAAACTTGAGAAAAAGCATAATTATGGTTTGAAAGGTATCTCAATACATTTGATAACTTTGTAGGATATTTTAGGTACCAACTGCCACTCCCTAGGGAATTAAACTAACTGCCCACGGTCTTTAATCATTCACTTATGTCTTTGGAATGCAAACTGTACTCGTGCACTTTTTATTATTGACTTTCAACCGAATGTCGTGTAT